TAAGCCACTGACACAATAACTGTAAAGCAGATTTAAACCAGAAAAACTATTGTAAATGTAAAATATTGTAAAAAAAAATAAAAATAATAAAAATCATGAGCTGCAATAAATAAATAAGAGAATAAACCACATTAGTAGTTAGTTTGCATCTGTAATGAGTTACAGAAGGTGTTAATTCAACCTTCTACAGCTCAAATCTTATCATATAATCAAAAAAATAACACAATATTTCCCAGTAGTACTAAGAAAAAGTACCAACGATAAATATTGACCCCAAAAATATATTCTTCTATCTGTCAGGTATTGACCAGTGAGTCGATATAGTAATTATGATGACAGTCCTACACAGAGTAATGTTAACAACTTTGGTCTAACTAATTTCTCACTCAGTCCATATACTTTTCACTTCCTAAAAAAGCAAGTCAAAACAAAAATATATTGTACTTTGTTTGAGATCATTGCACTTTCCATAAATAAGTTGCACAAAGTTCAGAAGTATGTAGCCTACAACCAGCCAGGGAATGTGGTTTGTTCCTCTCTCTATAAATACAATAAAGCCCAAACAAATGGCACACAAAAGCAATATGCTGCTCCTCTCCCAGAACAATAGAGAGATCTTTCAGGAGGAGGTGGAGGAGGACAGGGAATACCCTCAAGGAAAAACATCCAATGAAATCAAATCGCTCTGGCCAATTAGTTTGCACTAGCAGAGCCACAGATGATGTCACTCGTCATTACTCACTGTTTAATGCGCTCCACCACTGCGCAAACAGAGAAAAGAGCAACAAAGTGGTCTGAGACGGAGGACACTTCATTAGTCAAAGGGTTATTTCAAACTCATACCTTACTAGAAATGTGAAAGATTAGAAAAACTAGCTAATTCAACAGTTGAAAGGTAACAATGACAGTACTTTGGTACTTTCGTATACTATGAGATTGTTTTTGAGAGCTTTGTTGACCTACTGTTGTAGAAATAAATAGCTCGAGAGTTGTAATGACTGACGAGATTCTGAATGTCTAATGCAGAAGATGTTTACTAACTCTCCATTAAAGTCTGACTATGCTTCCTTCGTAGGGAGTATTAAACCTATGATGGTCTAGGTCGAAACAGCTAATGACAACAAAATGTCAACAAAGAGCTGGAAGTGTCCTTGATACATTTATGTTTGAACAAGGTCAATGAAGTGTCTTGTCCAAGGACACAGCGACACTATGCAGTGGTCAGCGCTGGAATAAAAAGCTTTCCAGTTCTAAAACCACTGTCATTTCCAGTTACAATGTAAAAAAGCTAATGCAATAATTAAATTCTAGCTTTAATTTTGCCACGTATTGGGCAGCCTTTAAAGCTATAGCTCTAAACATCCGCCCCTTTGCTGACACAGAATGTTCCAGCACATGCTGTATGGCTCATTAGTAATGACCTCCGGTAACATGTTTTTCCATGTTACAGTCAATACCCTGCAGCTTCACATGACATTTTACACTGCACTTGAGAGTACACACACGTTTGCTATGATCTAACAAACCAGCCTCTGTTCCCTCTGTACACAGCAGCAGCAGTAGTAGGCTAACTACAGGGAAACAATGGCCCATTTTAGACACTTACTCAGACACTTAGCGATGTTTATCAGGATGTAGCAATGGAACATAGAGGCTGATTAGCTCCAATGGGACAAGCCCCTGAACCCTGTGTGTGATTACAAGCATCACTTCAGCATCGCACCAGTGCACACGTGGCAGCTGCAGTTACCAGGGCTTTTATGTTTATAATGGACTACACTATGGTTGGACTAAATTATGTTCATGTGTCCTATTTTCAAATACTGACGTTTACTGGTTCAGTAGACAGAGAAAATATATTTGTAAGATAGCTAAATCTAATTACAAGTCTATATTCCACATATATACTTCAGAAATGTGTAATGTTTTTTCATAACCTGTTTACCAAGGTGCATCTCCTTGACTGCATCCTTAAATTACCTCTGCCCTGTATATCCCACTGTGTGTCTTCTACCTCTCCCTTTCTCCTCAGGCAGCGGAGTGCATTTGGCAAGCCCAGGTATCTGAGAGTTTCCCTTGCTCTCCAAACCCAATTCAATTCTACTATGAGAGCGTGGAGCCTGGATCAAATAAAGCAGACAGCAGCAATTACCAGGAGTGGGAGACAGGGAAATCCATACACACACCTAGACTTAACAGCCTCCCTTGCTACTTAAAGTGCATAGGACAGGTTTTCATGTTTTTCTAATCATTACCTGGTTTGGTGGGATAGCATCTGTGGGAAATATTTATCATAGTTTTACATCAGTCAAATGGCATTTCAGGGAAGAAAGTTGACAAGGAACGCACAATTACAGGAAGTGCAACAGAATACATCTACCTATCTCATCAACATGGAAAATTCCAGCTAAAATGCAGGGACAATTTACACGCAGGGAAGGCTTTTTGTGACATCTGAAAATCTTATTTAAGAAAACAAAGATGTAATTTTTTTTTTTATTTAGACAAAAACAAATATAAGTTTATAATTTGGTGAAGTGCAAAAGCTAGTAGCAGAGCAAAACCAAGTCTCAGTAGAAGCATCATTACACAGAGCATGGCTGGGTTAATTGGTAATTTGACATCTTTGAGATTACTGTGAGCTGTGAGCCATAAGCTTTGTGCGTGGGTGGGAGTCAGTGGAAAAAAGCATGCTAAATTGACTGAATACACATAAAGTTGTCAAATGCTCCCTGCAAATGAAAATAAACACATACAATGGTAATATAAGCATTAATCTTACTGTACTGAGACAAATTCAATATGCAAGAAAAGAATCAACAGCACTAAGATGCGTTCGAACACTCCTCCCCTTTTCCTATTGGCTGTCCAGCCTGTGTCCTCTTTCACTGCATCCATAAATCCTCAGACCTCCTGTGCTGTAGCTCTAACCTCAGCTTCATATCACTGCTGTATATTGTTACTTCCGTTTAATGTCAAAACTATAGCGCTAGTCCCTCATAAGTTATTTATGAGCATTTACAACGGATTTTAATGGGCTCATTCCTCGTCCTATTCTTCTTTGTCACATCCAAAAACCACCACAAAACACCTTGATTTCATAATAATAATGTAATGCATTAGTCTTAGATGGAGTTTTTTCAGATCAGTCACTAGGGATGTAGATATCCAAATCTCTCGGTATGATATTATCACGATATGCATCTCGCGCTGCAATATTTATTGCGATATTTTGGAGAGGCTGATATAATTGTATAATTGCTTTTAAAATACCCTGATAAGATTTTGACGTGAAATATTACTGTCATAATCCCAAGAATTCAAGTAAAAAACATATTACTTAATGTTGTCTGAGCTTAAATGAATCATGGGATATGTAGTTCCCGATGTTTATTAGCTATTGCAGCTGTAAAACAAAGGAAGCAAAGGAACTTGTGATTCGATATATTGTGACAGCCCACGATATTATTGTGAGACATTTGACGATAAGATATCACGATATTTCAGTTATTGTTACATCCCTACAAGCCACTTTACAATTTAATGCATTATTTATTTACTTCACACTCCGTGGTGGTAAGCCACTATTGTAGCCACAGTTGCCCTGGGGCAGACTGATGGAAGCGAGGTTTGTTAGAGTGTGAATGATAATGGTATTGAATATTTTATAGTGCACATCATGTCATTTTAGAGATTACAGTATATCTATTGTTTAAATGGCTTGACAATCTGTGCCTGAATTTAGGACTAGTTCAAATAAATTAAATTTTTTTGTATCTCAAAACTTTTGGCCAAACCAGGAAGGATCAAACACAAGTGAAGTGCCAGCCACAGCACAGCAACTCAGATTCAAAGATGGCGGCTCCCCACAAGTGATCAAAAGTGTGTACACGTGTGGCTCTCTCATTAACAACCATTTAGTGACACGTGCCGAGTACCACAAGTCACCGCCCCTTCTCTTTGTGGGAGCTGGGTGACTGTCAGCCCTCCATCTGCTCATTTTGAAGGCTTTCTGCTCAGGAGAAAGGCAACTGTCAGTGGAAGACGTTCAGAATACAGTAGGAGCAGAAAGAAGCAGAGCCACATGTGTAATTTTCAATCAGCGAGACTGATGGGTGAAGAAAAGCATAGACAGAGCCAAGACAGAGGAGAGGGGAAATTATCTGAAGAAACTTTCAAAAGGTCTTAGATTAAAAACAGATAAATTTGTGGTTTGAGCATGTTTCATTAGGAGCCATTCCAAAATAAATGAATAAATATACAATATATTTTTTTTTACCTTCAACATATTTTTTTAACTTGGCATTGGTTCTGTGACCAAGTTAAGGGCTAATAACTATTTTACCATTTCAAAAATTAGGCTAATATCATTGCAGAAACATTAATTAATTACATTTTTCATCCTGCAACACACATGATTTACGTAAATTGGTAAGTGGCCTCATTTGGGAATATTTCAACATTCCCTGACTACCATTCCTTCTAGGACATTATTCCAAACACAGTTAACACTAATTAGTCTAACTTTCCAAAAAATATTCTTATGAAAACCCCAAGAACACATCAAAGCACCCCAAAAGCGAAATATTATACAGCTAGTGGTAAGTTATGCATTATTTTCAATTGCTAAAGGGCTGAAGAGTTAAAATTTGCTGCAAGGGCAAAATGGAAGTTTGAACTAGTTTCACTTTTGAATGTCAGGAATAAATAACAGCCCATAGGAGACACAGACAGTAGGACAAATGGTTCTAGCAAAGAAGGACAAGTGTTCAAGGAGGCAAAAAGTAGGGATTGGGTTTCCTCTGTCCTCAGTAAGCCCCTCTGTTCATTCAAGTCTCCTCGCATACGACACAGCTGCTAAGACGCTGATAAAGGCCGACACTGGTGCCGCAGAGAATACCAAGATTCACGTCAGACATTTTGAGGACCAAAACACAGCTAAATAAACATAGGGAAACTCCATGTCACAAAGGAGGAAAAGGGTAGTAGTATGGGCGCACCTGAGCGGAGAGGGCAGAGCGTCGTGGTGGAGTGGGAGGAGCCTCAGATGAGCGTTGAGAGAAGCCTGAGGAGATGACTAGATGTTTCCACCAGTGGGAGGTCCCAGGTGTCTGCCCTGTCTGTGTGCGTCTGTCTGTCTGTCTGCAGGTGCACTCAGCATTCCCTATGGAGACAAATGAAACAAAATGTACCAAACTGTGGATGTTATACAGAGGCTAAACTCCATCACACTGATCCATCATGTAAAATAATGGCATTCTGAATAGAGAAAGAAGAGGGCACAAAAACAAGCCAATAAACTGATGTAAAAAGACAATCTACGGAACAATATTGGCCCAAAACACCTTGTTTTATTGAACTTGTATTTTTTCAAAGCTGTTTTTCTGTAATTACTTTATGATAAATAAGTTACAAAACACATTTAGATCATTGTTTGCTGTACACCATTTGTGTGAAATAAATATTTTCTTTGCCCTGGTATCAGATGATATCGGATATCAGCAGATACTTAAAGACATAGTACCAACATCATTATGGGAATGAAAAAAAGCTGAATCAGGGCAAGCCTAATTTTGAGTGATTGTAAATATTGCAAAATTTGTAAACAAAACTGATGATAATAACTTGCTAAGAACTTGCATTGTAGATATATTATGACTAGAAATATAACATGATCTTGAGAATAATATCGAAATAAGTACTTTTTAATAATTATTTTATTCATTCAATATTTACAGTGCACTTTCATAGACTGTAGCCTACTGTACATTTTCTCTCCAGTGACTATCTTCCTCCAATTCCCTTTTTGCAGCTCACTCGCCCATTCTCAGGAGTATTCAAAACAAACATCGTCCTATTTATACCCTGACATCACATCTCCATGGCAACTACACTTTGTTTACCCACAGGAGACACTAGTTAGAGACGGCCATCCTGAGTTTTACATGCTTGTTTGGGAGGACTAAAGCCTCTTTCAGGAGCTTTTTCAGGCCGAGGACAATGTTTCACTTTGACCTAATGCCTGCGGTGTGGAGTGTTATTACTATGGAGGCTGAAAACAGAAAGTAAATACAGTGTAGTGCAGCTTAAGCAGTGTAAAGTTGATTTGTGTTTGGGGCCAGGATCAAAGCAGAGTTGTCAAAGCTAATGCCACGTTATGGTAGAGGACATGTGCTTGTCCTCATACATATGATGCTAATGGATTCACCATGCAATAATGCTGACAGTAAACGAAACTTTAATTACAACGTCATCCATAAATAGTGCCTGCAACCAAGATATGTTATGGGATTAAAAAATAAATAATATATTTTCTTACAATAGAAATACAGATCATGTTCTTTGAAAAAATATTCATCTGATTTGACTAGTAAAAATGGATGCTCAAATATTATTGAGGCCAATTAACAAAATCTCACCAGTATCGCACAATTAGTAATATTGTTAGTATCCAGTTTCAGTGATGCACAACTCCACTTTAGACACTGGAGGATGTTGCCATGGAGACACATACACATGTCCTGAGGTCAGTGGGCGGAGCTGAACCCCAGAAGGAGCCAAAATCAGGTCAGAGCCTCATGTGACAAGCAGGGCCTAGGGGACAGAAACTGATCCTAAAACAGGCGTTTTCTTGTTTGCACAGAGACAAGCTCAGCAAATATTATGCACTTATGAATACAAGTTAATTAAAAGTACAGTACCACAGTACTACTAAAGACATACAGTAGTACTTTACAAGTAAGTACAGTTAAATATAGAAGTACTCTGCTAGTATTATCCTACAAAAAATGTTGATTGCAAGATAAAAGCTGAATAATGGCTGGCAGCAATAGTAAGTAGCATCCAGAAATTTACAACAAAAGGGACCCAGGTAGCAAACCTTTACTAATAAAATGGCCATAACTGGCAACAGTAAAATATAATGTCTTAATGTAGTCAGACCTATAGGCGTTGGCTGAAAAGGTAATAAAGTTCAACAATTTGCAAAAACTAATTTAATTTCATGTCCTCAACAAGCCTAATAACTTGGGCCTGTTTTGCAAAAGCACAGAATTGCTGCCAATAAACCAAGCATGCCAAAACATATAGCTCTCTCTATACTCTTTCATGGCACTGTTATTTTTGCATCTTGATCATAGATTTTTGTTTATTTATCATCTTAATGTTCTTTAAGAGGATAAATAATAAACATTTGATAAAAACAACTTTTAGATAACATGTTTCACATATTAAACATAGACATAAGTGTACACACAAACAAACACAAAATTACTCTCCCCTAGTCTAATATGACACAGTCAGTCTCACTATTGGTATGACAGAGTAATGGCAGACTCCCTGTGCAAGGATGGATTACCTTGGTCCAGAGAGGCCATGTTATCACTTCAGCTAATACTTGCTGTGTGTATTTTCCCCAAACAAATACAAGAATTACATTATGACACAGCTCTGCTCCACAAGATAATAACAGAATATTATATTACAACTCTTACCACAATTCCTCTACAGTTCTTGAGCACTTACAAAGGGTGGTTGATATTGTTGATATTAAAGCAGCACTAATATCAAAACTAGATTCTCATTTGTGTATTTATCAGTACTGGGAAAAAAAAAAACAACTGAAAATTTGCTGTATAGTAGTAATGGTTTTCATCATATCCAAACAAGTATAAGACCACAATATGACATTAAGTAAACCAAGAGACTAATATTCTGACAATCACACTATATTGTTAGAAAGCATGTTTTTATTCTCAGTGTCAAAATAAGAATAATATGGAGCCTTTTCCTTAGTATTAAAATAGGTAAAGATTTGAGCAACTTTAGTATGGAGTAAGAAAGCTGTCAAAAATATTTGTGCGCGTAAAATAGAAATCCGTGCGTATTTGGGAAATCCGTGCATATTTGGCTGTAGTTGCGCATAAAATAAATATTTGTAAACTCTCAAATGACTCCAGTCGTACATAAAATATATTGTGTGTATTTTATCCATCAGAATACGAATTGAAAAATCACGACGCCATGAATTACAATCACGAAATGAAAATTTACGATTACGCTTTCATCAGTACGAATACGAATTCACAGACGGAATTTTACTGTCAAAAATACGTCATCACTTCACAGACATTATCCATCGAGCAGAAGAAACATCGATCAAGATCAAGACCGCGCATGCTCAAGTTTGTAGCAGAGGGTAAACACAGAGTGGCTGTGGCCGTGAATGTTTTAATCTAAACATACAGAGAACCTGATATTTGCTAATTAGCCCTGGGATAACGTTACGTCGGATGTTAGCCAACTGGCTACCGCTATGTTATCTAACATATAGGTGCAATTTCCCTTTCAAAGGAGGTGTTTCTACACAATATTATACAGCAGCATTCGGTTCCCGAATTCAAGACATTTTTACAATAGATTTTAATTAACCCAGTTGTTGGTCGCTGTTGTAGCTTCTTGTGCTATTACTCTGTTTTTACCCTCTGCTACAAACTTGAGCATGCGCAGTCTTGATCTTGATCGATGTTTCTTCTGCTCGATGGATAATGTCTGTGAAGTGATGACGTATTTTTGACAGTAAAATTCCGTCTGTGAATTCGTATTCGTACTGATGAAAGCGTAATCGTAAATTTTCATTTCGTGATTGTAATTCATGACGTCGTGATTTTTCAATTCGTATTCTGATGGATAAAATACACACAATATATTTTATGTACGACTGGAGTCATTTGAGAGTTTACAAATATTTATTTTATGCGCAACTACAGCCAAATATGCACGGATTTCTATTTTACGCGCACAAATATTTTTGACAGCTTTCTTACTCCATACTTTAGGCTTTTGCTGAAGAATGCATAAGTGTGAATAAGAAGCGGATTTTTTTATAGAACATGTTTGCGTTATATTTTTCTGCCCTAAAGATATTGCATGCTTTTCCTGTGAACAGCTGGTGCAGAGCCTTATGTCACTGCATGTATGTTTTGTGTGTGTGTGTGTGTGTGTGTGTCAGATTCACTTCTAAGTTGCGATTGGCGGTTTTGTCTGTTTACAATAACATGCAATGTGTATTTAAATTTTTCCTAATTTAAATTATTTTTTTACTACTTACTTACTATGAACCAGACATTATGTGTCCTTAATAAAGATTGAATTGAATTGTGTGTAGCGTGTGCGTATGCATGTGTGGAGTGGATACATGTGAGGGGAGTGGGTGTGTGTGTGTATACATATGTGTGTAGCGTGTGTGAGGAGCCCTGGTGCTGCTCTATAATGAGGGGCAGAGCAGGATCCTGTCCAGATTACACGCTGACCGAGCTTGTCTGGCTAATGCTTCTGTTTCTCCAACAACATTCACACTGACACAGCACCTCACGGCAACCGGGCTCCCAGGTTTTTAGACAACTTCATGATAACTCATAAATCACACACTAGGGCAAGGCAATACAGTAGTGTTTTTTTTTTTTTTTACTTGTACTGTTCCAATACTATTTTCATTTCAATTTATTTTTCTTATCAAAGGCAAAAAAAATATGACCTTACTTTTCAATAATAAAGTTTATGAACAAACAGGATTGACAGCTTAAACATCTTAAACAAATGTGTGTGTATAACTCCTACTAAACACTTACCGTATTATTATCATAGAACTGAATGTAGACCTATTGATTTAGAAAGCGTTAAGCTGGTCTTTGACAATACTATTTGACCCCGATTTTATTTGACTCATTGCACAGCACAAAACAGTAACTTCTTGTGAAACAAAAACTAAGCTAAAATGAATACTCTGCAGCTTCTTCTTAAAACATGCAGTCCTGTGTTCTCCTGATAAAGCTCGAAAAGTTAGATAAGCACATTTAATGACCACAAGGTAGTATTGACCTGCAGTGCAAGAAAAACAGACTCTGAAAGAAACATGAGATGGGTTATGAAACATTTTTACACATGAACAGCACAGGTCAAAGGTCAGAGATCCACTGCTAATGTGCTTATGTGCACCTATATGCAGCCTGCGATGGTGATAAACCCAGGTCTATCATTCATTTGACTCAGTCACAATGCATGCTGCTTCGATTATGCACAAATTAAAGGTATGTGTTTTATTAGTTATTTTATTTAGCAACACACTCTAATTAACATTCTATATAGTTAAGTCAGGCCCAATATTTGTTTTGAGGAAATACTTTAATTAAGTACTTGCAATCAAATGTAGACCATAGTGGAATCATTAAAAGGCCCATATTACACTGTTTTCTGATCTATGTTATAATGTTGTTTCCTCATCACAAATGTACCCTGGTTTTGTTTTGTTTCATTCACACAGATTTAACACAACCCTGCATATTTAGACTGAGTTCTGTTCCACCTTGTGACATCATCTGCTCCACTGTGTTTTTAAACTCCATACACCTTCACTTGAATCATATCGATCATTTCGGTCCTGGAATTGCCAATCTCTACAGAACTAAAAGGTAGCTGTTAACTTGAAAACCACTGCTTCATGATATCACAAGGTGGAAAAGAGCATTTTGAGCTTTGGAGACACAGCCAGACTAATAAATAAAATAAAAGGTTACTCAGACATATGCAAACGAAACAAAACACAAGAGTAGATATGTTTTTGATGAGGAAACAAAATTATAACACAGCTTAAAGCTCACAAGAGTCAATTTTTAAAACTACAGGACCTTTACATACAATGTGCAAAACTTGTTAGCAGCTGCCTGAAATACAACATTATCAAAGAGAAAAGTCAAATGAGAAATTGAGTTGAGTGTAAGTGTCTCTTGTTTTTGCGTCATAGTTTTCTGCCTTCATGTATTTACTAATGTCTTCTTCTCACTTAAAACATCTTTTCCTCTCACAGTATTCTCCTGGGCCACAGCACAAACAACCACATCAGATGACATGTGACAGTGAGGGGAGGGAGGAGTGGCAAGATTCTCAGCAGTAGTAAATATAAATATTATAGTGAAAAAAGAGCAATGCAACAATATCTGGCACAAGTAGGATTTTGTAATAAACTCATAATTGTTACAATATGAAAATTTCACACTTAACTTGCAAAACTGGATACATGCATTTTAATACTCCTGAACCTGTTTTTAATTTTTTTAATGGACCAATGCAGGTGTTGTTATTGTTATTGTTTTGTTTGTATTGTCTTCTAAACAGGGCGGAAACCTGACACAATAATTACTTCTTATTCACTATATTTCTGTGTGGCAATATATCATGCTTCAACATTTGGGGTTCTCCTTATATAAATAAACATAAATAAAAAAATACAAAAAAAGGACAATGAAAAACAGATTTTGAAAAAGCATAACAGATTTACCATACAGATTTATGTATGTTTTATAAGCTTAGCATTATGCAACCAGAGCGGACAGAGGCAGTTACTTGGGAAGGGAATTACTCAGCATTCCTCTATCATACCATGTTGGAGCACAGGTCCCATAGAAGAGCTGTTGCAAGGAGCCCAGCTTTGATCACCCCCTCCAGATCCTCTACACACGAGGCTGATGGGAGAGGAGCGGCCTGGGGAGAGGGAGGCCTACTGGGACCGAGGCAGGCTCGTATGATGACTTCAAAGGTGCACACACATTGGTAGATCTATATTAGTTGTTCTAAACATTCTAGGTGCATATCTCCAGCCTACGTGTGCATAGTAATTATCCAGGGCGTTTGATGTGTAGCTTGCTTACAGTGCAGGCTATACATACAAACAGGATGTTAAATAAAGGTTGTTTCTTTAACTTGTCAGGCTGCCAACATGAAGAGCATGCAGTTGACTAGTCTGACCCAAAAGTCAAAATGTGCTGTGTGTACTCATTCAAATTCAATCAGCTTCCCACATAAGTGAAGCTACAACTAGAAGAGGGCAAAACATTGAAAATCTATACTGTTTATACTGTTCACACTTTGGCAGTATGCTAAATTAGAATATCGCAAATATCATTTATAATAGTGCTCCCTCACAATTAACGGCAATACATGGCTGACAATTGATAGTTTGCAATGGATGTCGTCAACATTCCCTGGGGTGTGATGCTAACTGAAAGCACTACTCAATCTGAAGCTCTTTAATCTGAGCTTTATTTTAACACAAAGTATCAATAAAACAACAATAAAATATGATATTTAAGTATGACGAAATGTGATATATTGCACATGATATTGTGTGAACTGTGACACATCACTTTTTAAAAAGAACAAAAATGTGTTACTATAGTATTTGCCAATAAATCAAATGTTCAGCATTTCCTGATTGCTTTCAGTAAGAGCCGTCCCAGATAATGATAATGTGTAGAACTCAATGCAGACGGCTCTGCCACAACTACCGTTCATTGTATTGGCTAATACTTAACTATATGTGACAACAATAGTGCTGAATGCCCATTGCTAACAAAATATTCAGAGAGAAAACAATGTTGAAATGTTTCTGTTTAAGTAATCTTAGTTTGCATTTAGTTATATCCTCTATTGTGCAGACTGACAAAATACACTAGAGTGGTTTTATGTTTCAAGGATAGAAATTATAGCAAAAATACTCAAATCAGACAAGAGATAGAGACACGGAGCTACATCAAACAGCCTTGGGGGTATGCAGTGCTGCTTTTAAAAGATTTACGACTGGATAAAAATTACTTCCATTTTCTTCATCCTTGTAAGGCAGGTCGACTTTACAAACAGTTGCAGTTTTGACCTTAGGAAGTCACACACATACGTCATGCTGCAGTGTGGTTGTGTCAGGTCCTGCTGGTAGCACAGGTGCTCAAATCCACACACCCAAAATAACACTGGCTCGTGCTCGGACTCTACCTTAGTCCAGTAACGGGCAAAGATACAAATACGAAGCCATACATATGCACAAGAGCTCACCACCTGAACCTCCAGCTGTCCCTCGAGGTCCCTCTATGAGTGTGATGCCTATAGGTCAAAAGAACAACAAGAAAGGAGAGTTGAGCTAACGCAGACAGGTGTGTAGTCGAATTGTGTGAGCGTGTGCGTGTGTGTGTGTGTGTGTGTGTTGTGGCTTGCTTCCAAAGTACTACGGTGCCCTTAACCTAAATAAAGTCTGCTTATCTTTGCGTAACCTTGACTGCCTGTTCTGTGCTAGCAATGAGCACAAGCTGTAGTGTTTGTACAGAACACCTTTAATGTCTCAGGGCAAACTGTGGTGCAGGGAGGTGGGGCACATATGAACATTCTGAG